TCATTTAGGTTCTTTTGATAACGATAGCAGAAAATAGCTATCGAAACGTCAAGGTAATTTTTCAAATTAATCTCTCTACTAATTGGAATTTTCTCGTACAGCTTGAGCCTAAGTGTGTCGCAGGATACCCTCTAGGTGATAGTTCTTGATAACTTTTTGATAAATAATTCGCTCTTATTGCGAAATAGGAGCACTATTTATCAATCTGTAATAAAAGATGTGAGGAAATTCTGTCTTTTTTAAAGACAAAAATTTTTGAGGCGCAATACCCAAAAAGAAGTTTGTAAAAAAATGAATCCGCCTCAACAATATAGAACTTATCTACAAGTTTGGTTTTATCGGCTGGATTCAATAGATTTGGTGGCGCGATTAATAGACAATATTGAGCTTGGTTGGAGATACTATCAAACGAAACGTTGGAATAGAAAACATCTTTGTAAGCCAATGGAAGTCCGAGGAAACCTACACTGATGATTTTCACCTTGAACGTAAATAAACGACTGCAAGTGCTTTCTAACTGTTAATCAGCTAAATTACTGGCCAAAACTTTGAAATTTTCGGCAAATAAACTGTTCTAGGTTTGATCTGGTGGATAAGTAAAATTCAGCCCTTTTGACTAGAGTTTTTTGCAAAATCCTCAAGAGTCAACCATGATTTTTGTGCTTTGGTTTCAGTTAATTGATTATGATAAATTTCCGTTTAAAAATTAATGTGCTGCAACTGTTGGAACACCCATGGAAGCCAAGTTTAGAATTCCAAACATTGATTACTCGCAACATCTAATTAGGATCAATTGGGGGCTAATTTGGGGCCTTAAATTTAGGAAAATCAACAGCAGTTAACCTGAAATAACTAGAGCTTCGTTTGGTCCACAAGTTACGAATCCCCAAGTCATTTTCTCTAATAAAACTGTAAAATCCTAGTCACTATAACATTTCACCACTTATCCACACTTAAACGCAGAGAAACACTAAACAATTGGCTAACTATAAACAAAAACGCGTCACTAACAGTCACTAATCACTACAGACAATGTCAAAAGACGCAAGCGTCACCCAAAGGGCATCGATTTGTTCAGTTATTGATTAGTTTACGCATTTTTTATCAGGGGAATGGGGAAAATGCACTACTTATGCGACGCACTGCGAAAAATGTGGAAAAATGCAGTTTTTTAAGCAAAAATGGCCCAATTTGGCACAGAAGACGCTGGTCGAGCGGTTCTCGTTACAGAAACCGGGCCTACGCCACTGGAATCTGGAGGGGTGTGTCATTTAATCAATGTTTATGTCAGGGGAATTACCGGGGGCGTTAGAATAGTATCAAGCCCGAAATTTGCTCAAAGGATTTTTATATTGCTAAGAACTTATTTAGAGGAAAATTTGGTGTTCAATTGGTTCCAATGGACTGGTGCTGTTCTCTGCGAGATTCCACCACAAGAAAGGGAACTAAAATTTATCGACTTCAGTTTTCTTTTAGAACGGACATGTATGTTCCTACATCGGTTTATATAGGGTGTCCCAGAAATAAATACCATAAATTCCGAAGCTTGCCAAATATGAAAAAATGTCAAAATATACATAGGCCCAAGCTTCGTTTTCGAAATATAGAGGGCGCACAGCTTTACTATGAACAATACAAAATTATCTGCAAAACGGTTTGATAATTTTTAATATATTTTTCGGTATATTTTAAATTATTTCATTTTTATTACCAGTTTTTTGTTCAAGCATTTTTGCGAGATTTTAGTTGAAAAGTTGACAAGTTTTTCGCAAGTAAACGTGATGAACGCACAAATCAACGTTAAAACCCGAACCTCCAGCCTCTGGAACATTAATTTAAACAGGATTTTCCTCAATCGCGTTACTTTCCGCATTCGTACCCGATTAATTATAGGCTTTTAGACGTTATTTTTTTTTAATTCGTTGCATACACAGCCTTTTGTCATGCACCATAGCCGATCGAGGAATTACTTTACGACGATGTTCAGAATTAGAAATGAGCGTATTTGTTAATTTTACACATCATTTGCTTTGGCCATCATCTATATAACGCGCTCACGATCTATATCTATGTACCTGTCCAGTTCTGCCGTAAGTTTTTCTGTTTTATTCACCGCCATCCACACGCCAGGTATATTTTAGTGCGGGATTATTATTGAAAAAAAACTTTAATTGGTCCAACAATTGAAGGAGAGAAGATTCCAATAAATCGATTGGACATCATCAGTTTTATGATCCGACGTTTCGCCTACTAGAAACCATCATCAACTTGGTCTTTTCAAATAGATGCTAAAGGACAGACGAATTTTCATTTCCGAAATCCGTCGGGAAAAAAAGCATCTTTGGCCCAAAACATTTTTCTGTACTTCTTTCAACTAAGAAAATATAGGACGATTTTGAAATTGGCAATTTTCCGATTTTCCCCTTGATATTTTAAGCGAATAAAAAATTCCCCATTTTACGTCTGACCCAAAAAACACCTAAACTTCCTTTTTATAGCACTAATAAAAGTCTCCAAAAAGGACGTGTTCCAGCAATTTAATCCATTGTTTTCCGAAAATTTTCTTCACCATTTTGTCAAGAATCGAGTCCGCCGTCTGGGAAAAACAAGTGAGAACGCACCAATCGCATGGGCGCAAAGCCAATACATTCGCCGTTTTTCTCAGTTATCGCAGTGCGCTTTGGTTTGTCCGCTCGCGAAGAGTGCTCCTCCAAAGAGCCTATTTTCGATTTATTTACGCAAAAAGTGTGTCTTTAGGTTAATCAGTCGGAATATTGTTCGGATTTTATCCCCCGTTTTGTGCTAATTGAGTGCCAGCGCCGATTTCGATCGATTTTTGCCCATCATCAGGTTCGGCTCGCCAAAGGGCACGGGGGTGAAAAATGGAGCTTAGCAGTCGATTGTTTTTTTGCTAACTAGGCAACTCGTCGATAAGGTCAGTGTTTGGTGGGTTGGCGACAAGCTGAAGATTTTTTCTGGTTTTCCACGCGATTTTCTTCAACATTTTTGCCCTAATTGGTCTATTTTACGGAAAACTGGGCCAATCTACAACAGTTTCTGTCGTTGCTTGATTGTTTTTGAAATTTGCACAGTTGCAACAAATTTTTTAATTCAATTAAAAATTTATTAGAAACTGGAATTTTTGCCTGAGTAAAACAGTATTCGAATGTATTCAGTTTCTAAAGCGTGTAAAGACGACTCGCCAAACTGAATCAAAAATAAGACTTGAAAATTCACCTGCAAAGGACAATTTTCCAGCCAAACATACAAAGGGCTGCCTGCCAGATTGGCAATTTTTCCAGGTACATTTTGCTTCTTCACCGCAGGTCAATCACCAAATTCGTGTCGATAAAAACCGATTTTTTCTCTCAAAATCTCATTAAACAGCGTTTAATTTTCACCTTAATCAGTTGCAATGAAATCGAATTATTTAAGAAAAACGATCGAATTTGCCAATTACGACGATCCTTGCGACTCCAACGAGCCACAAACTTCCGGTTCGTTAACCATCGGAAAAAAAAACGTCTGCAATCGGCAATTGGTAAACATCGTTGAATTCATCTCTATGCAAAAAATGCCGCAAAATGCGCGATTTCGTTTCAATATTCATTAAACAATGGGAATTAAATTTGCGCGATTATCTAATGATTGTATTACGAGGAGAGACAGCGTGACCATTCAGATTTGATTCAAATTTTTTGTCCGCTATTTATTCTGTGAAAGTTTCTCAATTAGGATTTTTCGGTCTGGGGATTCGGCCGGTTTTTGGAGGATTTTAGTGCATTGCGTTAACAACTAGGTATGTTTTAAAACTAATGGGTTTTTTGGCCGTCGGTCGCTAGAATTTCTTCCGGACGTTTCGCAAGCACGAGTGGCTTGCATCTTCAGAAGTGGTTTGCTTGAACGCTTACACTGTTCTCATCAGAACCCGCGT